GAAGAAACGAACACAGAGCGCGAAGCATATGATCAGTCCGGGCCAAGCTCATACCAATGATATCATGACACTAATTAACGACGTCGACATGAGCATCTTGACAGAAGATGTGGTCGAGAGTGTCTTCGCAGGCTACACCTACGCGAAGACGTCTGCTCAAACATACGAGTTAACCGCCTCTAAAGTCAACAAGCCGCCGATATCTATCATTCTCGATATCAACCAGAGCGACAACTACGTCTTTCGCACGCAGCCTGGCGCATGGCGGCGAGTCATCATGAACCTGTTCGGCAACAGCCTGAAGTATACACCGGGTGGGTACATCAAGGTGAAACTTGAGGTTAAGCGGAAGCCTGAAGACGAGGACGAGACCTGCGAGTTCCGGTTCTCAGTGACCGACTCTGGTATTGGCATGTCAGAGGACTATATCAACAACAGGCTCTTCCACTCTTTTGCGCAGGAGAATCCTTTAAGCCAAGGCACGGGTCTAGGTCTGTCGATCGTCAAACAGATTGTGGAATCTCTGGGAGGCGAGGTAGAAGTGCGTAGTGAGAAAGACCGCGGCACCAAGTTTACAGTCACATGTCCTTTGAAAGAGTCACGAATGTCTCCCAACTTCTGTGCAACCGGTCCAGAAGGGGAGAAAGATTTGCAGCTACAACAGGTCACTAAGCGCACCAAGGGTCTGAAAGTGAGGTTTGACGGTTTCAATGAGGAAGAGGAGTATCATGTTAGAGACTTGAAGAACAAGACAGCCTCGAAGCTATCATTGAAGGCGCTCGACAGCCTTTGTGCTGAGTGGTTCGGTATCGAACGATGCGACGAGGGCGACAATGCGGCCGAACCAGACCTGATCATCGCTACCGAAACCTGCGCCAAAGCGTTACGGACTACGTACAGCCAGTCTCCCGGTCGAGTGTCTCCCACCCCCGTGATAGTCGTGTGCCAGGGCGCCGCAGCAGCACAATCTACGACAGCCATTACGGTGCCGGGGATAATCTTCGAATGTATCGGCCAACCTGTCGGACCCCACAAGATGTCGAAGGCTCTAGCCTCATGTCTCGATCGACACGCAAGACGCGCCGAGACACAGAAAATGGACGTCAAGTCGATGATCCCACGGATAACAGAGCTCAGTCTGAAAGAGGAAGCAACTCCCCGTCGCACCGACCACCTGCATGTCGTAGAGCCATCTCGACCGCAGCTCACCAGCATTAGTAGTGCCCCCGAGATACGCTCAATCAACAACAGCCCACCCCGAACATCCAAATACCTAAAACCCTCGCGCGCACTGCGCTGTCTCTGCGTCGACGACAACCCGATCAACCTCCGCCTCCTGCGTACCTTCGTCGACAAGCTCGGCCACCAACACGTCCTCGCAGCCGACGGCCTCGAAGCACTCGAAGCCTACAAAGCCGCCAGCGACGAAGAATCGCGCATCGACGTCGTCCTCATGGACATCAACATGCCCATCATGGACGGCCTCGAAGCCACCCGCCAAATCCGCGCCCACGAAATCCGATCCAACCTCCCCAAAGTCACCATCATCGCCCTTACCGGCGTCGCCGACACGGACATCCAACAAGAAGCCAACTCGAGCGGCATAAACCTCTTCCTCATCAAGCCCGTCCGCCTCGCCGATCTCGAAGTCATCCTCAAAGGCGTGGTTACCGGCCAGGATAAAGCGAACCTAGAGCTCGAAGCAGAGAAAGAGCGGATTAAACAGGCGGAAGCAGATGCTATCCTCAAAGTCGAGAGTGTGGACGAGAAAACACGAAGCATCAACGTGGGTGTTGCGGTCGTCAAGGGCGAAGACGATATTCAAAAAGCGGTTAAAGTGTTCGAGCACAAGAAGAGTGCGTCGGTGATATGAAGCGCACAGCACAATCAGTATGCATCACGCTTTCTTGACGCATGTGCTAAACAAATCGCGGTAGGGCGCTCACACGCATCATCGGATGACCCTTACTCCCCGCGTAAAACTTCCGCGCGTATTTCCTCCTTGATCACGAAGTTGGGCATGGACAGGAGGAGTGAATGAACAGCGAAAGGAAGGGAAAAGCATTTACCTACGCATTTTGGCGTATACTGCATTTGCTTGTTCTCATTCCCCACTTTTCCGGCGCGCATGGAAAAGAGAAAAGTATCTGTCAAGAGCGAGCTTGACGAACGACAAAATGCATGCATGGGGTTGGCAGGCATGTTTAGGCGATTATACCCTTTTCTATCTTGCGTTTTTCTGTTTTTGTCCTTGTTTGATTTCCAGCTATGGTGTTTAGAGAACTGGCGGGTGCGTTTGTGATGATGGTTGGCGTTTTTTGTTAGGATTTGATCATTTGGCTGGTATGGTAGCATAGCGTGGCGTTTTCGCTTTCCTTGGGTTGATTAGATACTGGTGGGTCGGCTGATGGATGGATGTGTTATGATTAGGGTATCGTGGCATATTGAAATAAAAATCAAAGTTCAAAACACACGATGTGCTTGTTGGTGCGGAGTGTGCTGTCAGAGTCTCGACTAACATGCAGTGGGGGATACATCAAGTGCCGGCGTAGATGGAATCTGATCTGGATTCTGACAAGTTACGAGATGATGATTCAAAAGAGAGTGTGAGTAACTTGTACATAGCTAATGTGGTTATCAAACCCTTATCGTGATAATAATAATAACAACAACACCTGATCCAGTCCTATCCTATCCAAATCCAAGCAAAGATCAATCTCCGATCCAAAAGCGACTTCAGAAACTCGTAGGAACTCGAGCTGATTAGTTAGTCTAAGCACCGAGCAAGTCATTGAGCATGGAGTTGTCCTCCTCCCTCAACATGACCATGAACTTACCGATAGCCGGACCCATGATAACAAAGGCCTCAGCAGCCAGAACGTGGGCAATAACAATGAAGATACCAACGATGATGAAGAAGTTCTTGAAGGACAACTTGATGAGACGGCGGCGAGCCTCCCAGTTGAAAGACCTCCATGCGTCCAAGAAGCCAACGACACCGGTTCCACCCATCATCTTGCTAACGACCTTGCCACCGAAGGTGCGGTCGAAGGGGACGATGGTGTCCTGGTCCTCAGGGAGAATGGAAGCTTCGATGCGGATCAGGGTGACCATGGCGGGGAGGCAGAGGAAAAGAGTGCAGACGATGACGAAAACGAAGAGGGTAAAGATGCGGACGGCAAGACCAGTCCACGCAGCGCAGGAGCTGATCTTCTCCTGCTCGAGCTTGTGAAGACCCATGAGCATGGCTACGCCGAAAGAAAGGTACAGGCTGATGTATGGCATAACGGAGGCGATGGTGGCGGGGACAGCGAGAGTCTTCCAATGGCTCTTGGAGGGCATGCGCTGCCAGAGGCTCTGCTCGGTCGGCATGCCGACTACCTTGTGTGTCCAGACTGCGTGTACGTTGGCGAGAACGGCACCGGTGATACCGGCGACGATGATGGGCTGGCCGGGAACCATGGGGAGAGCGCCGTTGAAGAAGGTGGATACGATGCCGGCGAGGAACGAGTACAGGACGTGGACGCGGAAACCGCGGAAGCGTGCGAAGCGACCGGCGTTGGCGACGAGGTGACGGAGAGTGGCGCGGATGGACGAGGTGATGGGCTTCTGGTTCACGAGGGTGATGGTAGGGCCGGTCTCGAGGAGCGTCTCCTTCTCGTCTTCTTTGTCGGAGGGCTCGTAGGTCGTGGGCGAGACGGTGATGGCGGCCATGGGGGACTCGACCATGCAGAGGGTGGTGACGACTTCATTGAGCATGTAGGAGATCTGTTGATATCCTGTCAGTACATGTACCAGAGATGCCAACGAGACATGGAGTACTTACAAGGCTGATAGCCACACTCGCAATGAAGATGCTAATGTAGATGACAACGACGCCCCAAATGGGGACATCCTCTGGCTTCAGTTGGGTAGACTCTCCGTTGCGCACAGGAGCTCCATTGTGCAAGGCGCGCTTGACAAACGTCGCCGTGTGAGGGTGCGACACAGCGCGACGAGCGAGTTCGACGAGGACCGTCATCTTGTCTGAGATGCGTAATCCGTAAACGCTGAAGTCGCTGTAAGAAGTCGGATATCCTGCAAAGTCGCAGTAGTGTGAAAGTTGAGAAAGTGAGAACAGAAGAAACAGAAAAGGCAGACGGAAGTAAAAGGGTTGACAGGTGTATTGAAGTTGGCGCTGTCACAGCGCGGCACGGCGTGAGAGACAAGGAGGCGAAGTTCAGGCCAAGGCTATGCTGGCCCCCATTGACGCAACACGACGGCTGCCTGTTGTGCACGGACCACATGCCGGTTAGCCGCCGATCTATAATTGGTCTCGTCCCAAGTCGATGCGGAGAATCGGATGTGCTGGAGTGGATTCACTGCATCTATGTTCCGACGTATGCGGTGCTCCACGAGAATGTGATGGCCGTTTCTTTCATCGCGGAGGACACATGTGCTCTACTGACTGAGTTTCAATCCTGCGTGTTGGCCACTGTATATGAGACATGTTCAGCGCCGCACCTGAGGCACAGTGATGGGCGAGCACGTAATCCAATACCTTCAGGCAACCTGTTGACATTTGGGGCCGATCTTGGGCGCCTCGTTCCACCCACTAACATCAATGTTTCACAATACGCGTTCAAGTGAACAGTTGTAAGAAGACAATATTTCATTATACCTCCCATCACCCAGATGACGAGAAAGACAACTCCCATACCGTGATTATGTACCGGAACCCCACCCATGACAGACAGACAGGACTATTTCCAAACGCTGAGTGTAGAGAATACATGAATGCGCTAGACTAGAGATCAGATAAAGGCTTTTAAAGAAAAGGGATACACAACGCTGACTCCGATTGCAATTTCAGGCTTGAGGACTACACACAGAAACCGAGCGTAAGTCGTTATACGTGAGCACCGTGAGAAGGGTACGTGTCGGAGATGGATTGTGGCGTATTTGAGGGTAGGACCATGGAGGAGCCTGGCTACTCCAGATGAACTGGTTGGCGGAACAGCCTATAGAGCAGGCTGCGCGACGGGCTTCTCATCCTCGACCTCCTCGTCAGAGGACTCTTCAGTAGCGGGTGCGTGGGTTGGGGCAGAAGGGAAAGCCTCCTTCTTGACCTCTGGGGAAGTGGAACGCCCGCGGTACTGGTTGACGGTCTCCTGGGCCTTGGCCGTGGCCTGCTGGGTGTATCCTTGGACGGTCTTCATGGCGTTTCCAGCGTGCTGGTTAGCGAGACCCTTGACCTGCTGGGCCTGTTGGTTGGCGACGTTGTAACCCTTCTCCAACTGAGCATCAATGACCTCCTTGTTCTGGATGTAGATGAGGGGACCGAGGAAGGTAATGAATGTCGAGATCAAAGCCAAGCCCCAGAGAGGGACGAACTTGATGAGGAAGTAGGAGATGAAGGAAGCGAAGAACATCTAAGGAAGCGAGAAATCAGCCATCTTGTTCGGTGTGTGAAGAGGGGTTATACGTACAGCAACAGTGACGTAGACGTTCTCGGCGAACATGATACGCTGAGACTCAATAACGAAGAAGTTGATGAGCTGCTCGAAGTCGTCGGTCATGCGCTCGAGCGAAGCCTTGGGAATGGTGTAGTACTGGCGAGGCCTGAACTGCGAAGTAAGACCACGTCCGAGAGCCATTTTTCCGACAACCTCAGCGGCTGCCGTAAGTCCGAGCACCATGTAGGACATCTTGAACATGTAGCGGATCAGGTTCAGGTATCGGGCGGCGAAGATGAAGAGGACGGTCGCACCGAACGCTATTCCGGTAGCGCGGGGGTTCTTCCAGCTCAACAGGCGGTAGAACATGCTGTGGTAGTCTGGTGCATGTTAGCTATGTGATCGACTGGGGAGTTGGGTATAGCTTACGAGTGAGGTTCTGGCCAGTCGCTGCCTTGTGCTCGGGAATCGTCTTGGAGTTGGCGAGATCAGCAAACTCGTTGCGCGTCTTTGCGCCCTCGGCCTTGACATTCTGTGCAACGGGACCTGTAGAGTTTAGCATTGGTCGTGTGCGCATTAGGCTGACGTGTGTGCTGCAAAGCCACCGTTAGCTGTTGTCCAAAGCGTGTAGAGAAGATCGTGTGCACATACCCTACCGTTCATAACTGTCTGCTTGGCGTTCTGGACGCTGGGGTGGTTGTTTGCGGCGTTCATGGCGTTTGAAGCTGCTTTGTGGGTGTGAGTTCAAGAAATCAGGTGTTGTGCGGGTGGCCGATAAGACTGCCATGTATCGCGTTAGCTTGCGTCTCGGTAAGGGTCAAAGGCGTTTTGTCCCACTCACCTTACTCTCTAGAATTCCGTTCTTTGCCTTGATTGCGCTGTTTTGCAGGTCCTTGTTGGCGTTGCCGTTGGTCTGCGGGGCAGAAGAGCCGTCCATTTCCGATAGGAAGTCTGGGGTGCCGTTGGGGGTTTGCTGGAGGTCGAAATCGGTATCCGTGTTGGGGAGCTCAACGCGGGGAGCACCTGACATTGCTCGGAGGTACAGTGGAGAAGAGGGGAATCACAAGTGGATTGGGAGGCAGAAGTATGCGAGTGTAATAAGGAGCTGGGGTGTGTGAGAGTGCGGGAGGTAGAGGTGCTGCGGTGGTTTTGTTCGGGCGCTGTCGTGTGCGCATTGTTGGGTATTCACCAAAAGCGGACGTCATGGCCCCACCCTGATCTAGCCATGATTTGTTTTCCACTGCCACTCACGACGCGCCTCTGCACATAGGGTAACAGGTTTCACGGCAAACGATGTCATGGAGATACATATGCATCATTCCAGCAATGCCTGAAACCGCATTGCTGCGTGTCGACTTGCTGTCTCCGCGGACGATTCTTCATGGGGCAGGCCCAAGCTCGACCGGTTTCACATGTGAAAGATGGCCAGGTGGTCTTGATTCCCCTCATGACGCAACCCTGATCTGGCATTTCAAGACAGTCTTGCACGTCTCACGATACGTCTGCCCAGTCGTACACGTACCAGATACTCCTGTTTGTCTTGTGCATGCTGTTGATCATAATGAATCCACATTTGTCTATGCCAGGTCCCGGACAAACTCCCCTGTGTCGATCTTCCTTTTATCCAATGTCCGACTTTCTTTGCCATCGAACAAGATAGAGTTTGCTGCCTAATGTCACGCTGCGGAAGACGTTACAGTGTATGCCTATAGGCTTATTAATTACTAGTCTACTTAATCTACTTATCTTTTTTACTTACTTTAAACTAAAACTAAAATATATTTTACTTATTTTTATACTTTTCTTTAACTTTTATATATAAGTATCTTAATAATTTTATTTTTAGTAAATATAGTATTATTAGTAAAAACTTTTATATAAAGTTATTTTAAAGCTATAAGCTTTTTATATATAAAAAGCTATAGTATAAAGTTAGTAAAAATATTAGTAAAGATAAACTTAGCTATAACTTTATAATAAGTAATTACTTAAAGCTTTATAGTACGTATATAGCTAATAGCGTACTTATATCTAAAAGTATAGTTAAAATACTTTTTTTTAGAAGAGTTAGTATTAATAAATTATTTATATTTATTAGTACTAAGTACTTATAGTAATATATATATAAGTATATTTAATTAGATTTATATTACTATCTTAATAAAGTTATATAGATAAATAAAAAAAGATTAATATATAAGTATAAAGATTTTATTTACTTATCTTTTTTAAGTACTAAAGTAGTATATAACTATAATAGTATACTTTAGTTATTAAGTTAAAATTTTTCTAAGTTTCTATAGTTAAGAAATACTAAAGCCTAAGGCTTACTTTAGACACGTGATAGAGTTTGCTCTTGCTGCATCACCTAACATCGTAAATTGGGCGAAACTCTTTTCACGATTTTCTCCTCCAGTAGTGCGCAATGCACGTCAACGTCATAGGGAAACATGTATCCCCACTTTACTCACGCTGTTAGTGCTGGTGGACGGGCTAATATCGCGCTGAACGATGCTGTGGGCTCTGCTCTTCGTCTGTGCAACGTCTCCCTCTTCAAGCCAGTAAAAGGGGTCGAAAAACTGAATTGAAGTCCAGCTCGTGGACACCGATGAGCCCCCTAGTGGTTCGTGTCGTTTTATTGCTGCTGGGCAATGGGCCGAAGTCAGTTGATTAATCGGGTATCTGAACATGTGGAACCAGGAGGACCGATCACGCGAGCCTAAGCCTTGCGGCCATGTCCACGATGGAAGCCACGGATAAGGACTTTGGCGATACGCACATGAAAATCATGGCCATGCATGAGCCTCGGAAAGCAACAACAGCGATTGCGAACCTCGCAATCTCGGGGTGGCATATCTCTTCGGAAGTAGCGCGTGTGACAGTCTGGTCGCAGCGCCTTTGAAGGGGACTAACATATCGTCTGAACTTTGTAGTTGGAGGGCGAGGCTTGTAGTGTTCGAGTCTGTCTTGTTGTATGTATGCATTGTCATAGGAATAGAACTGTACACTATTCCTGGGTGCAGGGACGATCGTCAGATATGTACTGATCACTAGGGCGGATGAAAGATTGTGGACGGGATGTCGTTATCGGTCATTTCGCTGCGTTCGCGGGGCAGCAGCGACACTGTTGGTAATATGGCCGTTCGCGGAGGTTTCAACGTCAGCTTTCAGCAAGGACCATGTCCTCGAAAATTGCGTTCTTGTCTGGGCATCATCATGATATAGCTCAGCCTTTGTAGTACTGTATGAATCGCTATTGTTATCGAGACAGGGAGCACCTTCGCAAGGCAGGTGCGAAACGGGATGGCGGGGGTCAGGGTCTCACGAGGCAGGCGCAGACGCACAGGGCACTCTACCACGCGACAGTCGGGAGGTGGGGGTTTGCGAAATGGCGCATCCCCAAGACCAACACTATAGCCGGGCGAACAGTCACGATAATTGTGCGGCAATGCGCACACTTGTGCAGCGACTAGTGAGGTTGTTGGACGCCATGCCCACCGGCCTCAACCCCGGGATTCGGGTCTGTTTGCACGCCTAATCCAGCGATAATCAGTGTCATCGATCAGTTGGTGGCCATCTCCGTTGGCCTGCCGGAGCTGATTATCCTGAGGCTTGGGTGTGAGGTGCCAATGCCCCAGGAGCCTCCGAGCGGTCAGCAACCGCTGCATTCAGGTCTGAGAGGTGTTTGACCTCCCGCCATTGCGCCGACAGGCCCCAATCGCTTTGTTTGGAGACAGATAGAGCTACAAGCGCCATAGCGGACGCGCAGCACCATTGGAATTATGCAGGTGGCCTCAGCAGGGATGCATCCGACAGCCAGCAACAGGTCCTCCCGTCGCGATGCTCGGCTTTGGACTCGAGCCGTGATTGCCAATGTCGAGCCCATTGCCCTTTGTTGTGGCCAGGACGTGTCACGGCAGTGTCAGCTAACGCCTATCAGCGAGGACCAGGAGTTGGAACCAGGAATGCTGGGGTTGGCAGGCCATGGCACCAGGCAGCCCGCGCGCCTTTGGCGATCGAGGCGGGCTCCAGCGAATATGTGGCGTACCTCCGAAGTCCTGGCCAAGGTCCAGTCTGCCGTTGCGATAAGACCCACTCACACGCGCAGCAGCTTCCGTTTATCACGCCTGTCGCAGCCGGTGACTTGTCTCTCTCTTCAACTTCACATTCACCGCGCCCTCGCACCGTTTGCAAACGCGCGTTGAGGCTACAAGCCTAGCTTGACAGCATACCCACTCTGCCATCCCAGATCCTCGGTACGCCAGCAACGTCAGCCAGAAAGAGCGACATGGTCAAAGCGCACACATCGCCATCCCCAACTCGTCACCGCTATCGCTGCCACGCAAATTCGGCACTGAGCACGCGACTACCAAACAGCTCACCCTCTGCGGAGGCGAGAGTCTGTGGGGACTACTCAACAGCAGCATGATAATATCTCGCGACCTGTACAATGCCTCTCCCCCGCTGCGCCGAACCCGCATGGCCAACAACCCGACTCTCTTGTATTCGTGGTGGTGCACCGTTTTCTCTGCCGTCATCATAGGCGTCCGACTGTCTGGCCGCTACATCCGCAATGAACGACTCTTCCGCGAGGACAAGATCATGGCGCTCAGCATCATCCCACTGTTTGCGCGTATGGGCTTTGTGCACGTGGTCCTCATCTGGGGCACCAACAATGTCAATGTTTCGACTTTGACAGACCCGCTCATCATCCGCCATCGTGAGATCGGTTCTCAGATGGTCCTCGCCTCGAGGATCTTCTATGCGTTGTTGTACGTGCAGTCATCAACTTTGTCAGAGTGCGACTAACCCCATGCCAGCATCTGGATGGCCAAGTTCACCGTTTCCGAGTTTCTGAAGCGTTTGACAGAACGTTTCTGGAAGAAAGGGTACGATTGGGGACTGCGTGGCATACGCATCTTCCTTGTCGTTACATTCTTCATGGTCCTCATTGCCACACTGGCAGAGTGCCACCCCACCTCCCACTACTGGCAAGTCGTGCCGGATCCAGGACCGCAATGCCGACAGGGTTACGCGCAGCTGCTCACCATGGGCATCACCGACATCGTCACCGATATATTTCTGATCGCCTTCCCGATTCCGATTATCGTGCGTTCGAGCATGCCATTAAAGCGAAAGATCTCCCTGACTGTGCTCTTCTCCTTGTCAATCGTCCTGATCGTCGTAACTGGGACGCGAATGCCTCTGGTCATTCAACGACAAGGCCTACAACAGTTCCGCACTGTATTCGCTTCTTCGGAGATCTTGGCTGCAACCATAGTTTCAAACGCCATCATCCTAGGATCGTTCCTTCGCGACCGAGGTGTTAAGAAAGCCAAGTTCAAAGCACCATCGACTACAGACAGCATGGAACGCAGAGGGTCAGCGCGACGCTTCACGGACCAAACATGCAGTAGCGACGAAGACCTCGCACGATCGCTAGGGTACCGGACAAAACCCGAACTACTCGAGAAGCAGACAAGCGTTCCTAGGCCAGCTCCGGTGGCTGATCTTGATCTCTTGTCGTCTTCTAGACAACCTGGTCCTTTTGTCAACAACAATTGGAGATTCCCCGACGAAGAGGCTGGCATGATTCAGAGCAGCGATCGATCCAGCGTGACAGTCGAAGATATACGGGATCCGATGCCTAGCCCTCGTGCAAGACGAGTGTCGTGGTTCGATGTTGGAGGCCTGCTTGAAAATCAAACTGTAGCTCCCTCACCCACCGATTCAGTCATCGCGCACGACTTCGCAACCCAGCCACGGCGGGGGTCCAGAGCCTCGAACACAATCATACCAAATGCGCGCGCATTTTTGCCTCAAGTACGGCGCAACTCTCGACTTTCGCAGCAGTCTGAGGACTACGAGATGTCGTCTGTCCGGCCCACCCACCAGTTGCAGGACCTTGGCGGCTTGCTCTCCGAAGATCGCGAACAAGAAGAGGCTCTCTCAACCCCCTCTCCACACTCGGGCTCCTCAGCCGGTCCTCCACGCAATGAGCGATACGCGCCCATACAACGCACGTCAACG